AAATATATGTAAAAAAATATTCCAGAAAAGAAAAGTGAGTCCATTCAGACACTCGTCCCATTAAGGGTCGTCGCCCTTACAATCAAAGTTCTTGACTCTTTATGCAGACTGGTTGCATTATAAACAGCCGCCTGCAAAAATATCTTCGTACATAGTGGCTTTTATGTATTGAAAAATTCGTCCTCATACATCGCAGTGGCACCCTTTATGTAAAAAAATTCTGGCATATCGAACGTGTGTCGACAATAAAAATCTCAAAAACCGAACAACAGAGTGCACCATAATGCATCAGCGTGAAAGAAAGAGCAACGTTTACGAAACTATTAATTTCACACCATCAGTCGTGGGCTTATTATTATTATGCCCAAGCACGTTTCGCCCACAAGCGATTGTACCCTCAATGTATATGGGGCACCCTTACTTTCCGACGTGTATAAATTAGCACTGGGGCAAACGGCTTGACTTTGTTACTTTAATCAGCACTATTAAGCAACTGGCAATTATGCAATTGTGTGGCGACGTTTATTTATGGAAGTTAAACTCCTTTTTTTCAATTAAAAATGACTGAACGGCATTTTTGTAAGTAGAATTAACTAAATGTTGATCAATCATAATCTCGTCGTTTACCTACATCCCTCGTTTTGTTACAAACCCGATAAAGCCTGTCGATTTTCTCTGCTGATATTTATTTAGCTGCTCTGGCTCTATTTATGCTCGGTATCTTTGTGTTCGACGCCTCTAAATACGTCTTTCTATAGAAAACCTTAGGAATGCTTTCATCTAGCATTATCAATAGCGTTCTCGTTTTCAACAGTTGTATGAATTCCTTTTGTAACATTGCAGCACGACTCTGTCTATCGATTTCTAGTTAGGTAGACACATTTGATACTTACAGGTAATATTTGATGTTTTCTATGTTCGAATAGAGGAATAAAGATGTTATTTGCACTGCCACATTATTTACAGGCACACAGAGGCACATTTACACTATTGTTGTATCGTCTATAAAAAAGCCTTAAGTAAAATTGATTTTTTTTACTTAAAATATTCAGTAAGTAAGTCCTTCACAGGCTGCAAATATATCAACTATTTTTATGTAAATTAAGTTCCAAAGAGAAGTTGACTAATTCAGTAATTCAAGAAACTTATCTTGAAAATTTCATCAGAGAGTCATTGAGAGATTATAAAATCTTCTAGTAAATCTCATTTTTGCATAGTTTTAATGGGAAGGCAGAATTTTAAATATTCTCCTAAGTTTTCCACAGCCAGTTTATCAAATTTTTAGACTATATATTTTCAAACATTCACCTGATGCTAATGCAATATTATGATCAATAACTTAGGCGGATATTACTTTAAAACGCTTAGTATATGTAAAGGATATTATTGAATAAGATTCCCTTAATAATGCTTTTCTCGCTTTATCATGGCTTTTAAATGCAAAACGCGATTTTAATTACATGCATCTATCAACCGATATTAGAAAAATGTAAAAGTCAATATACGAGGTATCATCGTCACATGTTATGTTATGAAATTTCTGGGAAGAGAAATATTTAGTAACAGTAAAAATTATTCGTTCATACCGCATTTAAAAATAATAAATAACAAGAAAACATAAACTGAAAAATAAAAAAATATTTTCTTCCTAATTCATACATTCAGAAATGTATCAGTAAAGTCAAAGATTTACCATTCTGTATACCGAGTGAGATTAGATGCGAAGCTTTTTAGGCAGTAATTTCCTTAATAAAAATTTTATCATTTCAAATAATTCGACTATTAATTAAATAATTAATTTATAAGACTCATTAAAACTATCTTGTGTGATAATGTAACTTTCAAGTGAAACACACTTTCAGAAGAGAAAATATGTGTATTAATAAAAGCTTAACTTAAAAAATGCTCTTTTTGTTACGCAAAAAATGCTAAACCCTATTTTCCTCAAAACTGAGAGCGGATCAAGCAAACTTTTAAGTTTGAACAGAGTGTTGAAGGTAAAAAAAACGGCTTTGGAGCAGATTCAATACTGTACTGAAGTTCTAGTCGATACTAAAGAGAAAATAATACATACAGTGTACTACGGGACCAAAAATTATGTCATAAAGATGCGTGGATTTTTCTTGATAGTTTGTAAGAAATTATTCTGTTGTTTTTTATCCCTGTAAACTGAGCCACTGATTAGCAGAATATTAAGAGCTTTTAAACCTATGAAACTACCTTAATATCGTTGCAAAATTTCAATTGCAATTCATATAAGTGAAAACATTTAATTAAAATATGGATATAGAAAATACCGGTTTTATAAGTCACTGTTTTACTTAAAATATTGTATGTATTTCGGATCACCATTTCGGATCACAAATGATTCTCTCTTTTGTAAAACGCATTTTCACTATTAGAAAGCAAAAAATATATATAAAACAATACTTTTATGTACCAATAAGGGGAAATTAATTTGAAATTTGCATAGATCAGACAATACAATTTCCAACCAAAATTAAGCTGATTCGAATATCTTTTTTAAATCGACTGTTTAATGTTTAGGTATGGTTCAAAAATAGAAGAGCGAAATGTCGACAACAGCAAAAGCAAGCTACACAGCAAAATGCGACGTCAAGTAGCGAAAAACCAACTTCAAGAATCAAATCGAAACAATCAAATGTTGTAGCTAAAGCCGCGCCCACTACTCCTGTATCTGTTAGCAGTACCAGCAACAATACCAGTACGAGGTATGTGGTTAAAACGATTGCTTTGGATGGAATAATTAAAAATTTGCCAATAAATAGTAAATCTTGCTACCGTTTCAGTTCCTCGGCTAGTTCACCTTCAGTACATCCAGCCTCACATCTCAGAGATAGTCCGAACTGTGCAAAACCTCAGCATTTAGGTCCGGGTGCAGGTATCAGTTCTCCCGCTGTAAGTACCCTAGTCCTGATTTATTCATTTTTCATAATATTCATAATTCATTTATACATAATCATTCGTATTAAGGTCTTTCAATATGTATTCATTATTTTAACTAAGTCTATAGATGTCCTATCAGACTTATAATTTTTATCTCCTATGTCCGGATGATCCGAAATAAGTTAAAGTTAAATGTTTTTGGACATAATCAATGTACGAGTACTTAGTCAACTTCATAAACTGCGTTCATTGATATTTCTACCTAACATTTCCTCGCCTTTACGGTCGAAACTATCAGAAACGATCTGAAAGTTGATCCTCCACTTTCAGGATATACCTTTTTTTATATTACCTACTTTGATTTGAGAATTTCTACTTCTGATTGAGATGCGGAAAACAGAAACATTCAACAGCACTCCAACCTCCAATTGCGAATCTTAAGAGTATTTTCAAATTTGGTGGAGTACATATTAAAAGATGCAATTTTTTAACATCCCGTACTCGAGTAAAATGAGTTTTTGGCTAAATTTCCGTGAAATTATAAATTTTTTGCAAGATTTATTTATTTCATTAAATAAAAATAAACACATCAAATTAGATAGATACAAGACCCAATAAAAGCTTTACTTCTTAGGAAAACTTAGTACCACATTGATGCCCCAATATCCGCTTCTTATGAAAGATAAATTGAAAAGAAATTTCACTAGGTTATTATTTGATTATTTCATTTGCTTACTTTTACAAGATCATTCAGTTTATTTAATTTTATAAATTTCCTGCATCATGAATGAGTCTGATTATCGAGAGTCTAATAATACAGTCAAATATTAAACATTGTAACGGCACATTAAGACAAAGTTGGTTTTATGCAGCTGAAATTTTAAGTTTTGAATAAAAGATATTAAATTTTTTAAAAACGTGTCCTGAGTTGCATATGAATGATTGGACGTATTTTTGAGACACTCTCTTCTTAGCATAAGCAAACTTGCAAAACAGATAAACAAACACACTCAAAAACAGGATTAGTTGCTTGCAATTCAGAATAATAAAAATTGGGAACCACAAACTATTTTCCATTTTTTCTCAAGATTGTTGTGATTAAAATATCGAGTTCCGCGAATTAATGATAAAAACGATGTTTTCAAACAAAAAACTGTTCCAGTTTTTATGCTTTCCTTATTCCTTTTTTAAAAACCAAAACTTACTTGATCAAATATTAATCAGAAAAGAAACAAATGCCAACAGTTCAACAATGGACAAGGGCTTTGTGTATTATTAGAATTTCATATAATTTGTTAAAATATTATGCTCATACGAGGAAAATATTATACCCAGATGTAATGCGGCGTCCAGACCCGATTGTCTATGTTTTGACGAAACATTAGAAGGATATTGCCGCGGCTCAGGATCGGCTCGTTAATATATGTTTTATGTCTTTGCTATTCTGTTACTTCGGTGTTACTTTATTCTCTTGTTGCGTCGGTTGTATCGGAAATTGATATAAAAAGTCAAACCTTTTAAAATTTTTCGAAACCAATTCCAAATACCTATGATTTTCAAATGGGTTCTAATTAAAATTGATTGAATTATGTACGTTTTTTTACAAAATGTGGAACTTTCCATTCACGCTCCTAGTCAATTATTCACCTATTACGTTCAGCTCATAAATATCTAAAGTTGGGTCACCCTGTATGTTATCTTATTATCTCAAAGACTGATAGCAAATTTTCCATTCACGGCCATTCTTCTTTCAAGTAACAAAAGAAGCCGCTTGCATTATTTATCATGTTCATATTAAAAGCTTTTCACTCACCGGAATATTCAAACTCTCCCATTCTCTCCAGTCCATCTCCGTAACTACTCCCATTATTTTAGTTCCGAAATGTTTTAAACACTAAATGTTTCGAACACTCAATAGCACTAAAACTGAATACTTTGCAGAACCCTTCCTCAATTATCAATATATTTTCCACTATGGTAACTATTCATTCGCGGAAACACCCGTACTAGTCCCGATTACAAATGCTACTTTGCTAGTAAAAAATACAATAGACAGAGACTGGTTTATCTTTTGTTAAATAAACAATGTTCGCCCGGAAAGTTGTTGTCGTCCTAACGCCTGAAAAATGTAAAAGTGCTGGAATGCAGTTTTTAATTATACATCATTAATCATTTTTCATGATTTAAACTGGTTTTCGAAAAAAATCAGATTTTTGTGCTTGCATAGTTTTTTTTGTGATTTTTTGCAATTTAACTGTCGGATTTTTCGAACCGTCTAAGGTTGATTAACCGACACTACAAGTGCGACTGCCTACAATTTCGCTTTGCTGACTAAATGGACTTCTTTAAAATGGATTTACGCGGCTTTCTTCAAATTAGCGTCTTTTCGACGTCGTTTTGCCTTTACGACGAAAGTGGATATATATTAAATTCCTACATAAATATAATATTACAAGGCAAAAGACAATAACTGACAAACATATCTAGTAATTAGTCAAGAACGTGTGGCCATTGAACGTTTACGGAAGATAAAATCTAGCAAAAAATAAGTAAAACTGTATTCAAAATAAAATGATTTGCTTGAAGATACAAAAATGTGTTTGATGATTTCCAAAATGATCAGCTGATAAATTTTTTATTATTTTATTAAATGAAATTGATAAATTTTTTTGAACAAAAATATATTTTTAATTATAATTTTTCAGATTGCTACAACTGCCTACAGCAATACGGTAAATTCCAGTATATGGTCACCGGCGGCTATAGACGCTTTCTCCATAGATCAACCCAGATGGGGAGCATCGTCCCAAGGCAGTATAATGAGTACAAATTCAGGAGCGGGTTATAACAATTATTACTACTCGAACATGGATTACATCAGCAGTAATGGAGTCAACCACACCCAGTTTGGGGTAAGATTTTAAGCATTCGTATACATTTTTTCCAAATACAGTGTCAAAATATTACTTAAAAAAAGAAAACGTTTAAACATTAGGAACTAAACATTCACTATTGTACTAACATATAAACCAAAAAAAGTATTTAATATTAAATACACTCTTTATGTTTTAGGAAAATGGCGTTGAACCAGGTTGGGGACGGAACAGAGATGATTCAGCTTGGTTGTATAGCAGCACTTGGGATCGAAAATGAAACTGTATCAATGTTTCGTATGTGTAGAACAATTTTTAGTTCCTTGCTGATATAGTTTTAGTATGTGAAATAGAACCAATTATACCTATTTTGACAACATAGCCTTATAACCACCAATATTTTTTCAATTATCACTTTTTAAACAAGCAGTTCATATCAGTAATTATCTACAGAAAACACAGATGCATAAAAACAAATCAACTTGCGTTCTGTTCTGGAAATTTACAGCGTCTAGTAAAAATAGAGCATCAATTAGGTACAGAAAATATGTAAATATACAATTGTATATTAACGAATAGACCTACTGACCAATAACAATAATTTTGACGAATTTAATGTGTGTGAAACTTTATTAGATTGTGCCAACAGCTCTGTGAAAGGTCATCGAAAATATATTTCGTAATTTTCTAAACTTGTACATATCTCTTAGCATGTAATCTGTAAATTTGTTCGGTGATTGTTAGAGTAATTTTAGTTAAATATGCATATTACGTTATACATATCTGCTTACATGTTTCACTGTTAAATATTCCCGTAAACAATCGCGTGTATCCAAAATCAACGATTTACAAATCATACAGTCAGTTCTTCATTGCTATAAAAAAATAATTGGCTTTTAAAGAATTAAAGTAAGCCATGTAAGTAGATATGAAATCTTGGAAAGAAAACCGAATCTAAGATAATAATAGAGTTGTAAATATTAAGCGAACGTAGATGATCTCAAAAATTTGTAAGGCCTAAGCAGGTATTTTTTAGTATGTTTTTGTTTGTTTACACTTAAACAAGTGGGAAAAACTATTGTGCAATCAGAAATATACTCTTTGAAATTCAACTCGCATTTCATTAAACACACTTTGTATATGTATGCGTTCTTCTATTGAACATAAAAATCTTCTCAAAAATGACATCGGAAATGTTTGCTAAAGTGTAATTAATAAAATTTAATTACATGGGGACAATCGGTAAATGGACTTTTTATACAAAAAAAGTTATCGCAAAAAACGTATATTAAATAAATACTCCCAAAAACTGGTATAATTTTTTCAATAAACCGTTATATATAAAGAAAACAAATAATATTAATGCTTTTATCGCGCATCATATAACAGATACTCTACTAATTCACGTTTAGTCCTCTTGTCCATGTTAACCACATGTTCCAGGGCTTGTTGCTGGTTTCGGTCTTTGTCAATGAAAAGCTCGCTGAGCTTAGCTGCATTTGGTTCGAATTTTTTGCAAACCATGTGTTTCAGAGGGATGTCGTAATAGAGAATAATCTGAAATATGCGAACCTCTTTAGAAACAATACTCTCAACAAAAATACGTTAAATGAAATCAATCGTTCAGACAATGAAAACTAAACTGAGTTTTGTTTCTACAAATCTCCACTTTACACAGCGTTATTTTCAAGTTGAAGTTTTCTATTTAACGCCGAAAGATAAGTGTTAGTTTCATTCACCACTTTTCCCAAATATTAAAATAATCCAGATACACTCTATTAACCATTGAAAGTTTGATCAAATTTTACTTTTTGGGAAAAATCTGCGAACATTTCCTTACTCATGTTACACCTGGCAGAAGGTTTTTTGAATTTTCTATCCAGGGGAAGGAAAACGAGCCCTGTTGTTCAATTGGTTTTTGAGATATGAGCTTATGACCAAAAAGGCGGCGGCCGGTTTGAGTCATTCGCCAAAATATCCCAAAGCTAAATAACATCTTGAAATATTGCTTTGCTATTGCAAAATTATTTGGGTGCATTATTTCTTAGTTGCAAATACCATTTTTTTCTGATTCACTTATGTAAGTTATTTAGATTATTACGGTTTTGGCAAAAAAATTCAATGATTGTTAGATGAAATGTAAACTGGAGAAAACAGAACAAAACTTACCGTATTTTTGAAGGTGACGTAAACTAAAGCAGTAACTGCCGGCTCCTCAACGTCCACATTATACCATCCACTATGAAAGGCTCGAACTGGTTCTTCCAAGTGAAATCTCACTGAATTTTTGTGTTGATCCAAAATGTAAGTTTGACCATCCCAAGCACAAACCACAATATCATCCCGACCATCTTTTGTTATATCCAGTTTGTTCAAGGCGAATATTTGGTGATCTACAGCAATTGCCCTGCAACAAAGTCATTTTGCGTAAGCGATCTTTTATTGATAGAAATTTAGGATTTATATGCACACTGTACGGCAGATTCTTCCCTTAAAAAAGAGGTAAACAGTTTGATCGAATTTATACAGATATAAACTTTTACGATGCAATTGGGTAAAAGTGACCAGCAGAAACATTTCCATGAAATATAAGTTCATACACTATTATTTTAATGTAATAATTGAGGCTCTAAGCAAAAAAGGAACCTTTCTAAGAACATACTAATTTTCTCATCAAATGTGTAGACATTAATTAGGATTTATTAACTTACCATAATATAACTTCATCTTGTACCAACATAATAGTGCCATCTAAAGTGGCTAAAGCGTATGGTCGATTCTTAAACAGCTCCTTATCTTCATCCGAATGTTTCGGGTCCTCACAGTTTGTCTGATTACTGCAGGAATTTAAATCACCAATTATTTCGGTTGAAATATTTGGATTTCGCATCCTAGATATTCCCAAAAACTCATAATCGACAGAGCTAGGCAGTACATCATTACTAGACCTAAAATAAACAATTCCGTCAAAAAACACCAAATTTTTTTGTTTTAAACTAAGATTTATACAATTAAATCTAAACAAGGAACTCGTAAAAATCTGAGCAATGATGCCGAGTATACCATTCGTTTCAATTCGATAATTCACGTGCTTCTCATTAAAAATAAAATAATAAAAATATTATTTAATGTGTTATTTTCCTTACTTATTGCTTCCTGCAAGACCTTCATGATCGCCATCCTCACATTGGCACTTGATTCTCATAAAAGTGCCACCGGGTTGAGCAACCAAAATAAAAGGTTGCCCGTCGAAAGAATGATGCAAAGTTAGCGATCCTATTTGATTGGCACATTCCCACTTGTTTAGAGCAACTAGTGTACCTAATAAAATATTAACACGAAAAACTAAATTCCCATTTTGATTCTTTTCTCACACCTAAAAGTTTCTCCTCTGACCCATCACCTTCTTCAACCAAATCCACAGCACTGTTATCAGCGTGTTTCATAAACCTGTAAGATCGAACGACTCTGTCAGTCAAGCCGACGACCATTTCAATTTGACCATCTCCATCTACATCAGCTAGCATTATATTCTGAAACAATGTTTCACTTGCAAGCTTCACAGTAGGATGTTGGCATTTTTCTGCACTCCAAATTATATAATACATACTTTTACATTTGCAGGTATCCGTTGCTTATGAACACAATTAAGTGGATTCTTCAGTTCTGGTTCCTTCTTCAAGCTGTTTTTCCCTTCATCAAATGTGGACTCACTGCTACTTTGGGTTTCAGTGTTGGTAGTGGGAGCATTTGAGGAAGATTGGCCTTGCCCATCTACCTTCATTTAAAGTACATGTTTATACACAAAAAAATTAAAATTTAACCAAAACCTCAATTTGAAAAAAATAAAAGTTCAGAATATTTTGTATTTAGCAAGAGAATGATTTACTTCATCTATACTTTCTCCCATCTCAGCCTCATTAATAGTAATAGGTTCATCCAGGCTAACATCAGGAGTTTCACTGAGAACATCATAAATATAACACCAACCATCAGCAGTTACCACAACCAGGCTATTTTTATCTTCATTTTTAACATCCCCAACTGCTACACATGCGATAAATGTAAGATCTGATATTGTTTGTAATCTCTCGGTTCCCTGAAAAATTTAAAGTAATTGTATAAAAGCTCGAGTTCTTGAAATTTATTGTGTATGAAGTAGTACCTTAAAAATGGCAACTTCTCCTTCATTATTTCCTATAACAAGCTCAATACATCCATCATTATCTACATCTCCTAAAGTTAAAGCATTCCGGGAGACATTTCCAGCAAATTCAAACTCAATTTTTTTTACCAATGATATGGCCCTCATTTTTATGCTTTATTTGTACTATTTATTTGTATATTTAATTTCTGAAATAAATGTATTTCTACTGCTTAGATTCTAACAATAGCTGAAAGATTGTTGATTTTCTTGGGGATTCGGTCTGGACAGTGGTGAAGAAAAAAAAGAAAAACTTTTTTACCTACCTTAGCTAAAAGTTTTTCTTAAAAAGGAGAAACTTTACTTTTAACTAAGGTCTGAACAAGTCTGGACTGTAGGAAGGATGTTCCACATAAAATAAAAGTAAATTTGTTGTTGTGAACAAAAATTTAATTTTATTTGCGATTGCGTCTTTTATTATTTTTGATTGCGTCTTTTGTCCTTTCAATCCCGTCTAAACTTACACACTGAAATGTATTAGTGAATTATCTACTTACTTAGCAATTTGTTAGAATCCCCTTATTATAGGCTTAATATTTAAAGGAACTCTGGAAGCAGGTAGAGCGCTTGATATCACTTGCCACCTAGAAGGAGGCCACACTATGCAAGAAGCTTTGCCAGTCAAAAGACCTAATGAAACTGGACCAAAATTGTTTGAGTCCATAGAATGACCAGTATGATCACCTTCGATCCAGAAGTGACCCTCCGGAATTCTTACAACGTGATCCCTATATCCAAGAGTTTTAATAACGTCTCCTAAAAGTGTAAAAAACTATTCAACAATTACTTAAGCTTGAAATATGCAAGGAGACATTTTTTTAAATAAATGAGCCACATATAATTCTGCAATGCTGCATTAATCTTTGCTGACCAATACAAAATCCAAAAAATGCAAGAGTGTTTCATTGCTTCCAATATATATGACAAAAGAATCAAAATTCTTAACGAATTAAACTAAATGAAAACAAATAAGTTTATTTATGAAGGATTAGATGTGAAGGCTTGTTCCAACTAGCCTGAGAATGGTTGGTTGGAAAGTCATCCTTGATCAATAGGGCATCAACCTTCTGGTTGTTATTGATGGAAGATTTAGGCACTTTGTATATGCGGAATAAAGTTTTATTGGATGGAAATTTTATTAGTAAGAGAATTACGGAATAATTGCTTAAATATGGATCATTTCGAAGTATTAATACATTGAATGAAAATAGACATTTTGGGAACTACATTAGTCTACTGGCTTCAAGTAAAACAGTGGAGTTAAAATAATCTTATCACATCAGATATTTTCGGGCGTTCGCAAGATAAAATCTGTTAGTTTTTGGATGTCCATATTTATGTCTCTGTTTCACTGGAGGTTAAGAATTGATGACGAAAAGGAATAAAATATAATTCTTAAAAAGGGTTAGTACAAAGATCATCACTATTGATTGCATATTTAAAACCGTCTTTGAAATAGGTATAGAATGTTCCAAAATTTAAGTGCCCCCAAAATTTTATATTTGTGCTTGTATCAAAGAATACCAAAGTGCCCTAGCAGTACAATCCACATTTTTTAACGGAAAGAAAGTTCAACAAATAATATTTCAAAAAACCCAAACCAAAAGACGGGAAATTTCTAAGGCCCATTTCCGGAATTTGTCCGATTCCAATGCCCGGTATGGGCAAAACATGATGATTTATCCTAATTTGTCTAATCGAAAGGGAGACGGTTTTCAAAATACAGCGCGTCAAAGTTAAGATAAAAAATTGGAAAAAATCGTTTGTATTGCGAGGAAGCCAGATATTAGAATCATTTTCAAAATTGCATATGGTTTATCGCTCAATTATTTATGATCAGACTAGTGTTTGTACACGTACCTTATAAAAAGCGGACTCTTACCTATTAGAAGCCTCAAGAATTATAAACAAAATAAGTTTTATTTTTATTTTATAATCTTAACTTTGATGCCTTATATTTTGAAAAACGCTGTCTACTTTTGGATTAGACAAATTAGATCAAATCATCATGTTAGATATGTGTATATATATATGGAGAAGTATACAGGGTTATTCACGCTATACGTCACGGAAGTTTGCGTGGCGATAAAATTCGATATATTTAAAAAACCTTTAGATTTAGACATTATAAATCTTATTAAACAAACACTTATTTTGCTCAGAGAATCCAAAAATGCAATAATCTACAGGGTATTTCATTTAGAAAAACACAACTTTTATACTTTTAGGGCTTTTGGGACACTTACACATTACAAAAATATTTTTTAAATGTGCACCCGATAGGCGTCTGTGGATTCATCAAATAATACTTTGCAAAAAACAAACGGGCTAGCCGAGAACGTTCGTGCCGTATAGCGTGAATAACCCTGTATATATGTGGAATATGTGGTAAGATTTTGTACAGACATTTTACAGACACCCTGTACCTATATTTACAAATTGGCAAAATTTTTCGAACTACGTCACCGTGAAGTCTTAGAGAGCATAAACGTAATGGCGCCTTTTGTTTCTTTATGGAAAAGTAGTGACTTTCAATGAGTAAAAGTAGCGAAAAAACGAATACCCCAAGAAAGACACCTAAAAAAAAGTTGTTAGTAAAGGGTTTATCTGTAAGGTAAGCTTATCGTTATTTTTAAAACGCGAGAAGCGGATAAACCAGTAAATGACCGCTTTCAGATGCCCCTAAATGTGGCCTTCAATTAACCCAGGGCTTTGCCCATAGATCCCCCTTTATCAAATTTTCTTAAATTCTGTAACAATACACACATTCTTTTCATGTTCACATCCTTAACGAATTAAATGCTAATCACACCAAAATTAACGATTTGGGATTTCAGCGTATTTATACAGGGTGTCCCGTAAGCACATGATCAAAAAGATCTGCAACATCCTATGGGTCAAAAGAAGAGGATCTGATCTACTTAACTTTTATTAAGAAAAAACGTCTGACTCCTCTGCTACTCACAGTCAAAGTGTATTAAAAATAATATGTTCTTTGAAATATCTGGAGAATGGTACGATTTCAATGAAACTAGCCGTGAATTTGTTCTTATGTGAACCTCAAATTTTGTTGGAACAAACGGAGTTCATCCGGTTTAAACAAGTGGGGAATTCTTGAGTGTCTTGGTACAAAAACTACCAAAACTTTTTGTTGTTCGTTATCAATTTCAAGCAGTGGTGAAACTTCAGCTTTCATCTCTTGTACCGTAATATACTATTAATCAACGAAAAATATCAGTCCTGCTATTCAGCATGAATAAATAATTTAAAATCCTGACTGTCTTGAGTCTTGAGCAGACAGATAGTCGAGTAGAAAGTGCTACGTTCCAGATTTCACCTCATTTTGAGCTGTTTCTTCATAAAACGATGGAATATCAATAATATGTGTGGCCTAAATGTATCCCATTTATGCAGATAAACTGTACAATACTCAAAACTGTGCGAAACTATAATGCGACAGGCCAGTCTAAACGACTTCTTAAAAAAGTCCTTATCTCTTACCTTGTATGCCTACGACTCTCTTAATAATTTTCTGAGTAGGATCCTTTGGGGATGTTAAGGATACGATATCACCCCGTTGAACATCATAAGACCTAACAGCCAGTTTGTTCAAAAACACATAGTCTGTGGTATTTCTGTCAGGGTTTAGAGCTGGCTGCATGGAAATGCCATCAACTCGAGCCACATACCCCACCGAATCCACAATAGTTATTCCAATGGGAATACCGAAAAAAATGCTTTTGAAAAAATTTGGAATTTTCATTTGATATCTACAAAAAAAAAATTGTGACTTAACCTCAATGCTGATCTTTGAGGGTTACGCAAGTCCAATCTTGACATTAAAGAAGCTCATGAAAATTTAAATCGGAGAATGTTTTTGGCTTTATCTGATAGCAAGGGAGTGAGTGCAACAGATACAGTCCAGTGAGTTGTATAGCAAAATTTTCAATGACATTTCAATATAGTGTAGTGACATATGTTTCTAAGGTTATTTGTTCCCAAATGACTGCGTTTATTCAGCACACAATGGTTTGTCATGAAAATTATTTTTTAATGGCATTAAGAAAGTTGATGTGTTTGAAACATCATCAGCTTTATCTGCATATTTATCGTCTTATTTAATCATGCTCTAGGTCGTCAGGATATTGTCCGTAGACTGCTAATCGCATCATTATTATGGCAAGTTTCATTAGGGGTAAGTGGTGTAAACCTAGTCAAACCTATTTTGCCAAAACCAGCTGATTGTTGTTGATGTTTTGGTTTTGAAAAAAAAAACAGAATTCCCAATTTCCTTTTAAAAAGTTTTTGTGATGATTCTTTGTCGGTCGATATTTAATTTTCCTTTAAAATTAATAAAGCATGACTGAACCAGTTGCAAAACGCGATTTTCTTGGTATTCTATCAAATTTGAACCGAAAGTTTGAAATCACGGACAGCAAATGGACAGAAGAGAAGGCCTACGAAATAAAATTCAGGACTCAAATCAGAGTGGAACATAATGATTACAATCAGTACTGCGATAAGTGGGTGGAAGAGTTCTCCTTCCTCACAGACACGATTTGGGTGCATAAAATATCAAATACGGGACCCAAAGTGAAATTTCGTAAGCAGTACCAATGTTGGGCCTATGAGTCGAAAGAGGTGAAAAAGGAGCTTCTTTTTGATGCAAGGAAATGCAGGGCAACACTCGATGTTAAAGTGCTAGGCAATACAGTAGGTACTAAGAAGTCGAACCGATTTGTTCGGCTTGGGCTGAATACCCTTATAAAGGTAGGAGTTTTTCATTAGTCGAGTAGAAAGTGCAGCGTTCCAGACTTCACCTTCATTTTGAGCTAGTTCTTCTTTCATTATTTCATGCAACCATCTCGAGGGCTCTCTTGAAAACCTGCAAAGACCTCACAAAGTGGTCAACGAGGTCTTGTGGTGTCTTCTCTCAAGTTTCAAGTTTGGTCTCATTAAATTTATACTGATTTTATCTGTATTTTTGCGAAAAGTGTGCTTATTGGTTGGTGGTGGGCCATATTTTTAATTTATTCACATATACAGGGTGTCCCGTAAGCACATGATCAAAAGGATACTGCGATATTATTTGCATTCTTTCAAAAATGTCTGGCTCGTCTGCTATTGATGGTGAAAGTTTTTCCAAAAACAGCACAAAGTTGTGAATAAATGATTAGTGCATCAACTAAAAAAATTAGTTGATTCCATACACCAAATAAAAGGTTCTGGGAGTTTTTGTACCACGACACTCAAGAATTCACCACTTGTCCAAAACGGATGAACTCGAATGATTCATCAAAATATGAGTCTTACATAAGACCAAATTTACAGCGAGTTTCACTAAAATACATCGTACCATTATACCGATATTTGCCTACTCAATAGGCAAATGTTATAATTTGTTAATTAGTTGTTAAATTTTGGATCTATTATTAGTTGAAATTACATTTAATAATACGACGTCCGGTATTTCGACCAAAGCGATAATTGTTCGCATTTGAAATTCCACCAAATTCAACAAAGGAAATTGGTAATAATTCCGGTTATGATGAGCGTCGATTCTTTAATGTAAACAAAACAAGTAAACATTTGCTTAAATCGCAGGAAAATAAATCTTAGGAATTATTTTTAAAATAACTATAAAGCAGTTAATTGTATTGTGTACACTTTAAATAGTAAACTAAAAAATGGTATTTGAGTGTATGTAAGTGCAACATTATTTGATTCGATTCCCAATTATACGACATAGAAAACACATTGAAAATTATTTGAAACACCCATTTGTCCAGAACTTGTAGTTTTTATTTAGCGCCCTCAGTGCTAGATTCACATTGTACCCCTTTTTGTCAAGCTGTTTGGTCTCAGATATATTTTAAGTGGATACTGTTTGAATTGATTTTGGATATTAACAATAAACTTATTATTTTGGCTTCTTCAGCAAGGTGGTTGGTAAGAAATTTCATGGCAGAATATTCGGTATGACGTTTTTTAGCTATATTCGCAGGTAAAGGAATTTATATTGTAATTAAATATATAAACTGCAGAAAATAATAATTTTTGTAATAGAATCAGTTCAAGTCATTAATCTAAGCTCGATTAAGTTGTAGAAAGTCGATTTTATTGGTTTTGACTTTGAATTGAAGGCCGAAGCACAATAATATTGCTGCTAAATTCATAATTTATTTCATTTGTCATTTTGAAAGAACATACCTCTACATAATCTCTTGCGTTAGAAATTTTTTTTACATCGCAATGAAAGTTTTTTAATTCTGTTATCAATGAAACTCTTTGGACTATCGAGCACAAACTAATCTACTGCTTCATTGTCGCCATATCGTAAAAGTGCTTCTTTCAGGGATCCAGAAAGACGAAAGTCACAAGGTGACAAGTCTGGACTGTAAGAAGGATGTTGAACATTTCCCAGACATTTTTTTTATTTCTAAAACGTAGCGTTTGCTGGGTCCTAGCGTTGTCGTTGAGATGAATGATTTATTTGACTGCTCCAAACGGACACTTATTTAAACGACAATTTTTGATTTTCATAACTTTTTTATTTCCAATTCCACATAACATGTTTTTACAAGTGCACCATTGACCGCTTTTCTTTTGTATCGCTTTCAGATAAACTTTCAACATCTACATCCTGTGGATACGTCTCAAGCTTACGCCTTTTTTGTACATTGGTGTAATCCAGTGGCTGATGCTCCAAAACCCTCAGCGCCTGCCATTGAAAAAGTGGCACAGCTTGTAGCTAAAGAAGTCCACAATGCCGCTAAAACATCTCAGAAAGCTGGTGAAAGGCTTAATGAAGCCTTAGAAAAGCAGCGAATGGCTTCAGCAGATGAACTGCCGAATCAGAGCACGAATTTAACAGGTAAGATACAAAGTTGCTTCACCTTGAAAGTCATTGAACACTAATGTTGGGAATTAATAAAATTAATTTGTTAACTAACAATTATTTGCTCTCCTTGACTGACTGTTAAAAGGACTTAATAGGAACTTAAATTTAAGTATTGTTCTCGATCTTAGCTTTAACATATAATTAGTTCACTTTCAAGGTGCTCATTCTAATGTTGCCTGCAGAAACGTACATGCGATTTTAGTTGCGGTGAGAGTGATTTGCTTTTGTACTGTAGAAAAAGGTGTTCTCAGATTTGTCGCACAAAGTCCTTGTAGCTAGTTAAGTACTTACGTGTCGCAAATTATTAGAACACATTTGGGACGAGCTTAAGTGAATTGAGATAGTAAGCAAAGTGGAAATTTAGTAGTGAATGTCCATAGATAGATTATATGGCAGTGTTATCAGATCAAAACGTTCTAGGTTGTGCAAACACATCGATTTGCCATTTACAACCTCAAAGTGGCAACAGACTGAGCCTCGATCAACCCCCCTTAGCAAAAGTAATCGTTAACACTCCGGATGGTCAAACCAGCGAAAACATTTTTTACATCCACCAAGTGGTGTTTGATTCGACAACTCAAACCCTCACTGAAGTGCCACCAGATCAATGTGGCGGACTGCCTGATATTTCGAATCATCAACTAATTCAAGTGCAATTGCCGGATGATCCTGCTCAGAAAACAACCCTTTTCATTGATCCTAATCAATCCTAGTGAATTTGCAATGATATAATAATATTTATGCCATTTGTATTTTTTTGTAATCATAATTTTAACAGTAATGTTTTGTTGTTTTCACTTGTCACTCCCTTCGTGTTATGCTTTTAATACGTTCTACTTCTTGGGTTAAAAATAAACCAACATAACTAATAACTTAGGTAACGTCTTAGTTCAACCGTGAGATCCGTAGGTGTTTTGCTAAACAGAATATACATATTTTGATCGAACAATCTTAATTTTCTCCAGTTTGAAACATTCAACAATGAGATTAGGTCTAATACATGGGCACCGAATACATACAATTTCATTTATCGTAGAGACTCAAATGCAATCTATTGTTACGCAAAGATCACTTATGTGTGAAATTACGCTGCGTCTATAAGTTAGCTCAGCTTTTCTTCATGCGGGTCATTAAACACGAATATACGGCGCATATGAAGGTCTACTCTAACCACCCATACACCACAGTAAAGCGTGGTACATGTTATTCAATAATTGCATGATAAGAGAAAACTTCGAAAATCGTTACACTATATTCGGAATGTAAGTAACCGCAAAGACATTTTTTATATATTGATATGGGCATTTGGCTCGAATGTCTTAAGGTAGAATACAACATATTTGTTCTCCATCTTTAAGTAAAACTTTTCACGTAAAAGAAAAAAGCTGTGACGACAGTACACATTTTAAAACTTTAGCTAAAAACAATGTAGTTTTTTACACAAAAAGTTTTTTTTTGTACTTTGTTGTGTTTTTTTCTGTTCTGGTTTATTGGGGTCATTTTCGTGAATCGGGTTTTCGCTGTCTTCTAAACCCACGCTGATATATTTTATAAATAATTTTTGTTTTACATCACTATTAATGGATAACAAAGCTTCTGTTGTTGCGTTTTTGCGAAAAAGCTATCGTTAGTTTACTATTTTTATTGCAAACATCGCGTTTTATCTTCTTGATTTGAATTACAGAGGTGGATGCTTTTTCAGATGCTTTTTCCATACACCCAAAATTCCAAAGGCAAGGGAGATTTATCATTAATTATTTATAATTTTGATTCCACAATTTACCTTTTAACGTGCTAGCTTTCTCCCTATTTTAAATTAACAAAATGTGGACAACATAGATATTTGGCCTTTTAAATGCGAAGAAGGGCATCGAAATTTATCGGTAAAACAGTTACACTCCCATTTGTCCAGATTAGTTTTGT